ATCAAGTAATTGTGGTATTCAATCAATTGGTGACTTGGTCAAAACTACCTCCTAGTTTTGGAGGGAAATGGTGATGATTACTATGTGATATTCCAATCTAGTACAATACACTGCTTCTTATACTAAGCTATACCTCTTTGCACCCTTAAATGTCACGCCTCTGTTGCCTTTTTGAAGCCTCATTGGTTACTTTGAACTTGTGTATTTAATTCTCACATTTATTCACTTAAATCATAGTTTAATCAAATATTCAATTAATCATAATGTGACATTTGTTTAATTAGACTAAAATAAATATATTTAATTTAATGTAGGTGTTAAAATGATTGAGGAAATATGAACACAGAGGCCTCACAAGACACAATAAAATATGCAAGCACATACTTGAACTAAAATTAGAAGTTAAATGAAAACCTCTCAGAGGGAAAACTTTAATATGTGTCTTTTCTTGATAGCCTTTGAACTGGAATAAATTAATAAAAACTAATTTAACTAATTATTTTAGCCTATTAAAAAATATAATTTCAAAGCATAACCTCACATTTGTGAAAAAGTATATTTTATGATCAAATAACCCTAATACATGTAACTTAACACCTTGGCAATTTTACATCAAGAATGTGATATGAATCCATATGCACACTTTTGGAGCGTGTAAAATGGTCCTAACTAGATGGAAAATGTGTGTAAATAATGAATCTTATCAATATGCAAGCACCCTTCATGAAAATGCAATTGGATTCTATTTATTTAAATATGCATTTGTGATATTCGAATACATGAAAGAAAATTACATTTTATTGAAGAGCAATTGCTTGCTGTTGAAAAAACATCACATATGCATCAAAAGGTGTCCATAAGGGATTTTAAAGTGGGATATTTGAATATGCACTTGTGATATTCGAATATATGAAATAAAATCATATTTTGTTGAAGAGCAATTGCATATCGTGAAAAAAAAATCACATATGCATCCAAAGGTGTTTATAAAGAATTTTAATAAAGGATGTTTGAATATGTAAAAGTGATATTTAAATATATGAAAGAAAATTGTATTTCATTGAAGATCAGTTGCCTATCATGGAAAAGCATGGTATATATACCCAAAAGTGTCCATGAGGAAATTTAATGAGAGATATTCAGATATATAAAAGTAGTATTTGAATATATAAAAGAATATTATATTTTATTAAAAATCAGTTGTATATTATAGATAAAACATCACATATGCTTCAAACCTGATTCAAGGCTCAATAAATTGCCATTGAATGATCTTATTTGATATATTAATACTAAAGGACTTTGTGACCCGTTAACAGTGAAGAACCTTACGCAACATATTGGCAGTGAAGGACATTGCTGAACTTGTTTTTAATTACAAGGGAAATTCAAACATTTGAAACTTCAAATTAATGCTCGTGAAGGACTTCTTTAGAAAAGTTTCCAAATTCCTCTCCATAATTATACTTGTGGTGAGGTATTTTTTAGTAATTTTGTCAAAAAGAAAAGCATTTCTATTAATATAAGGAGTGATTAATGAGATTCAGAGCAAGAGCATGTTAAGGTTAAAGGAGCAAGGAAGGGTAGCACAAATACTACAAGAACAACACAGTGGAGGGAGCAGCAGGAACTCCCAGTCACAGACAGAGACAGTGCAGCGGCAGTATCAGGCCTATCCATCTACAAACAACAGGCGCCTTCATTTAATTTTTTATAATAATAATAACAATAGTAAGGGGGAAGAACAATGATATGGAAGTAAAATAATTGAGGGAGAGCACGTGGGATAGTAGGAGGAGTAGGTCGATTTCATTGAAGAGAATGGCCTTTGCTGTCTCCCCACTCCCTCTCCTCTATTAAATCACAGCCCCCTCTCTTTTTCTCTTTCTGTTTTTCACCTTTTCTGGTCAAAGTTTCTATCCTCTCTTCATTAACTTCTGTTTTCATTTCAAAGCTCAAGAACAACAACACTATCTTCCCTTCATCAGTACCCGCGATCTTTGAAATGTCTTCATTCATGAATGCTCTGTTTTGGTTCCTTTTTCCCCGCCACAAAAACCCCAAGATTAATGAGATATATGCATGGAAAATAAAGTTTAATGAGATATATAATTAATGGTTGTAGGTTATCGCGTGTGTTTAGGAGGATTCTTTGTAAATTTCAGAGGCTGGGAATTATATGAACGTGATTTTAAGTTTCAAAAATTTTTGTATGGTCGCAGATCTTTAACGGAGCTTGTGCATGTAAGTGATCCAAAAAATAAGAAAGTGAAGCGCTACTGCTCGGTATCAGATTAAGTGTAGACAAGACTGCAAGTTTATCAGAACTTTAACAAAATCTCATAAACCAGGGGCGGATGAAGTCTGGAGTGAAGCAGTCAGGTTTCGACCCAGAAAGATAACAAATATCAAGTGTAACAGCTTATCGATATAAATGATGACTGGCCGCCGTTATCTTTCTATACTCGACTTAAATTTCTAGTGTTATCTAAATTTCAAAGCGTGATTAAAATTAAATATGTATAGTAAATATTTTTCAAAGTAAATTTAAAATACTTTCGTTGATGTATATATATAATTCTTTTTCTCCCTGCGTGCACTGTTAAAATATTGCATGAGATTCTGATGATTGGCCATCTCAACTTGGCAAGCTGGATAAATAGACATTTTTAAAGAGGATTTCTCAAAATATAAAATAAAAATTAATATTTTATGAAATATGCTTTTTTAAATATTGTCCTTTCTATTTAATTTTTTTATTTTTTAATATAATAGATGAAGGGTATTTTTAAAAGTTTATATTTTTATTTTTTAAAAAATTATTAAATCTTGTTCGTATATGAAATTTTATGCAAAAACATTTTATAATTTGAAAGGCAAGGAACACTGTTTTTTGTGCTAAAATAATCCAGTACGGCTTCATATGTTCCTTTAAAACTTGCCTGGACTGAAGTCTGCAGGGAAACCTATTTCTAATATATATACTATATCATTAGAAACCTTTTGGTCAAAATATAAAGAACACTTTGAAGACCCTAGAGCATATCAAACCTGGCTCGAAAAGATGATGATAACTGGAGAGATGTAATTACGACAATTAATTGAATAATCAACTTTTCAGAATCTGTGGTGGCAGAAATTTTGGACAAGGTTTTTAAAATTTCTGGAAGTCAAATGTATAAAATATCATTAGATGCACAAATGTTGAAATGATTCTGCTGTTAACACAAGCCTCGAAAAGCTTGCCCTTGGTTTTGAGCCGTCCAAGGAAGAGGAAATCAGCGGAGGATGACGAAAATCCTCACGGCATCACTGCCTTTGCATGGTTTCAGTTTCGGGCAGCCAAAAAAATGAGAAGGCGGTCCCACCCCAATCCAAATCTGAAGGGGTTCACGCGTTGCTGAACCAGAGAATGATACATTTTTTGGCCAAAATACGAGAGAGTGATGCATTCATTATTTTAATTTTCATAATTGTTTCATCTCAAATTATATGATAAAAATTTTAAAAAAGTTATTCTAAAATATAAGAAATTGTTAAAAACTAAAACTTCCTTAAAGTTACTTACAATTTAAATGAAAAAATAATTAAAATAATATCATAGTATGATGATTAAGTATGTAGGAAAATTTTTCAAAATTTATAATTTTATTTAAAAAATAAATTTGTATAATATAATTATTTTATGTATAATTTCATTTTAAATTGTTTTATAATTAGAGAAGGATGAAGTATTTTACTCTGCATTATTTGAAGATTATGAATCTATTTGAATTTTAGTTAAAATTAATTAATTAATATGATTGATTTTGATTATAATTGATTATGTTATAACGTAATTTATTTAGATACTATTTTTTAAAATTAATTTTAATAAAATTAAAAATATTTAGATAATTTAATCAGAATCAATTTTAACTTACAAATTACCATAAAAAATATTACTTTTTTAAAACTAAATTATTGATAAAGTTATATCTAATATTAGTAAAGTCGTTAAACTTTATTTAAGAAGTAAAATATATTATTTAACTTATATATTTGATTAATTATAAAAATTTAAATTATATTAATATTAATATTTTAATTTATGTAAATAAATGACTCAATAAATTTATTAAAAGAGAAAAATATAATTCTTCAATATTAAATAATAATTTTATAATAACTAATGAAAATGATAATATATATATTGATCTTTAATAATATCATAAATGTGAGTCATATTTGATTAAAACGTTATGAATGATGATAATAATAAATATTTATGAATATGATGATCTTTCTCATCATCATGCTCTATTTAATCTTTCTTTTCATGATATATAAAATCATAATATGTATAATAACACCAATAAAGGTAATGTTGGTAAGTGAGAGACTCTCTGACAAATAATTAATATTAATAATGGTCAAATTGAATTCAAAAGCTATCTCTCCAAATTTATTTTTGAATGTGATTTTGGCTTACTAATCTATTATGCAAATTTTGTGCTATTTGAATAATTTCTTTCAAAACATGATTTTAAGCCAAAAAAATTGATTTTTCGTCCTATCCAACAGGGAGCATGTTCTTCCCGACACCAAAGCTTAGCCATCTAGGGAGGACATGACAATTATCTCATGGAGAGTGATGGATAAATTCTGAAAAAATTGATTAATTTAAATTCAATTTTAAATATTAAATTTTATAAATTTATTTTTTATTTTATAATTTTATTATGATAAGTTTATAACTTATTTTTTAAATTTTAATATAATTAAAAAAATAAATTTATTTTTTATTAAAATATAAAATATAAAATATAAATTTATTATAATAAAATTATAAAATTAAGAGTTTTGTGAGTTTCAAGACTTTTAGGTTAATTTCAACATCCCTATCATTCTCCCATTATTTTATTATTTTTTGAGTTGTCTTTTAATTCTTTTGGCTCTCAACTGTCTTTTCTCAGGCTTCCCCCGCTGCCTTTCAAAACAAATTTTGCAGTCTTGGCTGTCAGAACCCTCCACCCACCGATCCATACCCTCTAGGCGCTCTCCCACTCTGCTTTTGTCTCGCATATCTGCTAAAGTCACCAAGTCAAATAATCATAGCAGCCTAATTTTAATAGACTTGCTCTACCCAAACGAAGCTGAAATATCATTAACCTCGCTCTCAACCAAACTCGTAACAAATATCCGTCCTTAATAGCTTCGCCCTGCGTGTCTGCTCTGTCCATGGACTTGTATCTGAATCAATGGAGAGACCAGGATGAGTCAGTGGCAGAGGAGCAACATTCTGCAAAGATGCCAAAACTTGTGCTCCAACCTCATCAAAAGCCACAATCATCTGCCTCTGCTCTCCCTCTGTTTGTACCCGAACCCACCACCAAAGTCAGCACCTTGTCAGCATTACCTGATTCAACCTCAGCTTCTACTAGAGTTCACTGTAAGATTTACACTCCTTCCTCGCTAGAGACTGTTGCAGTGAGTCTGAAACTTGGACTAACTTCGGGGTTGACCGGTTGCTTCCTTTTCAAGTTTCGCTTCAAGCTCACACCTTTCTTGTTCTGGATTTAACAGTTCTTTGGTTATTTCATTTTCCCCTTTTACCCTTGTGGGCGTCAGGGATGGGGAGTTATTTCAGCTTGGCTCAGTGGCAGGAGCTTGAGTTGCAGGCTTTGATTTTCAGGTACATGTTGGCCGGCGCTGCTGTGCCTCCTGAGCTTCTTCACCCAATCAAGAAAAGCCTTCTTCAATCCCCTTCCTTTTTCCTCCAGCACTATCCGCATTATGACTCAGCTTGTAAGCTTCTGACTTTATTCTCGTTACCCTCTCTTCTTTGCTCTCATAAAAGGTTCTCCTTTTAAGCTAAACGCAAATGCGACTTTTTTGTTCTGAGATCGTTCTGAAAAAGAAATCTCTTTGCTTTATCCTTCTTTTTACGAGATGAACGGATCATGCTTGTAAAGTGAAATGAGATAAAGATGACCAGATTTTACGTTTTGCATTCTTAAGATTCCGTTTTGAATCAATCCACAGCGATTGGTTTTGAATGGCAAAGCTACATAATAAGGATGCTTGTTGCAGTAGCATTGCAATCGGGTTATTGGGGAAGGGCAGCCATGGATCCAGAGCCTGGTCGGTGCCGGAGGACAGACGGCAAAAAGTGGCGGTGCTCGAGGGACGTGGTTGCTGGCCAGAAGTATTGCGAGCGCCACATGCATCGCGGTCGAAACCGTTCAAGAAAGGCTGTGGAACTACCCACACCAAAGGCTCCCGGTGGCGGTGGCTCTGGCAGCGGCGGAGCCTCTGTCGGTGCTCCAATACCCATGACTGCGCCGTCATTGGCAACGGCTTCACTGACTTCCCCGTTCGTTCTTCATCTTGATCAAAGGTAACATCGCTGTCTTCGGGCTTAAACGACTAGTAATTGGTGAAGCTAGCAGCCAAATGTCTTGGATTTTACAACCTATGTAATGATTATGTGAAATTATGCAATCAGTGAATGAGCTCTGCTTGGGAAAAGCATTCTAAGTTCCAATTTGGTGGGACATCTTTCTTTTGTTTTGTAAGATTTGTTATTTCACTTGTCAGCCTTACTTTGAATATCCCTTCATTGGTATCATTCGAAAGGCAAGTATAAATTTGACTGATTCCCATTGAATAATCCAAATAGGGGCAAAAAAAAAAAATTTAAAGTTCTTGTCATCTTTATCCCTCAGATGCGCAACAGTAGGGCCCTAATAGAGGCCTGCCTGGCCATCATGTCTCGTACGAGGGAAAAGAAAATTTCGGCTTCAGATACTGAAGAAACGATCCCCCAATCCCCCTATAAACAACATAGAAAAAGTGTGCTTGTCTTGTGTTGTCCTGCAATTATTCGTCCACTTCATGAAACTCCATCTCCCTGGTTGCTATTTTGCTGGGTCCTCTAGTTCCTTTGGGACCAATAACGAAAACAGGAGCCCGTTTGGAATCCAAGATAATGGGGGTGGTGGGGATGGCTGATCTGATGGTCATATCCTGCGACGTTTTCGCGATGATTGGCCAACATCGCTTTAAAATGTGACATTGCCGAAGGCAATGCTAATAATAAACCCAGCAAAGCCAGCCACGCAACTCGGTAACAGATATGCCTGTGTCAACGCCGGGGAATACTTCGCCAGATATGTGTTTGAAATTATCCACTGGCTATGGAGAAAATCTGTGTTCGAGAAATGGAGATGTGGGAAGAGAGCAGCAACGGATAAACTGGGCAGAAGGATTGAGTTCGGCTAATAAAGTGATTTCCAAGGGAGGACCACTTTCTGAGGCCTAGAGATCAACTACTTCAACCTCTTCAACTAGTGTTCTGCGTCAGTTGCCTCGCGGTTCTGCTTGTGAGAACAGCTTCATCGGCACCTAGATTAAGCGCGCTATTGTTCTGGATTCATGGCTTCCCATTGGAGCATTTTGTCAAGGACATGTCTGTAACATCCGAATGAACTTGGTCACAGTTTTGAAGAGGCCAGGAAAATGGATATCAAGAAATTCTCCTGCAATACTTTTGATACGGCGATCCCAACTTTTATGTCAAGAGTTGATGAACTGTTTATTAATATTTAATGCCAAGCTTTTAGTTTTACAAATATCAAAGTTGTGTCTCTTGTGAGCTGAGAGATTCTTGGGTTGGGGGTAGGCCTGTACAGGATGCACATAAACTCGAGATGTCTGGCCCGACCCGAGTAAAATATGTCCAACCCGAGCTTTAAAAAAATTGCCCAATATTGTTTGGGCATGGTCGAGTTGAGCCTGATCTTTGAGTTGGGCAGGGTTTAGGGCTAGGGTATTCAACTAATTGACCCTGCCCAACCCGAGATATAATATATTTTTTTATAAAAATAATAATATAGGATGTGATTTGTTAACTTGATGGGGACATAAATGATTGTTCTTTTTTTTTAAGGTGCCTTGATGATCAAGTTTGCAAACCTTAGGTTGAATGTTTTTATATTCTTTAGAATTTGGAGCTGAACAATACTTGTGATTTGCATGAAAAATTCCTTTCATATTTGCTTTGCCATTAAGTTTTTTGATGACACCATAATATTTTTGCTAGTGATATTTAACAATCTGATACTTTTAAAATAAGAGCTTGAAGTGATTTATTGATGGAAATAATTAATCTGCTACAATGTATTTTAAATTTGTATGGATGGTTCTGATTCTTTGTTTCGGTAGGGCAAGGCTGGAGACCCTGCCCGAGGTGCCCAATCCTTGCCCGACCCTACCCGCTCGGCCCCTCCAAAGTCAGGCATCTTTCGGGTAGGGTTGGGCTTTGAGCATAATTTTTTTGCTCGAAGACATTTAGGATAGGACATTGGATTAATGGGCTGCCCTACCCGACCCTGCCCATGCACTGCCCTAGTTGGGGTTGGGGGGTGGGAAGTCATGCCACTACCTCTGTTAATGTAGCAGTCGTCGCATTCGAAATCACATGAAAAATTGTTTGATGATATCCAAACATTTTTTAAATCTTATTTTTAACTTTTAATATCCTTTTATTTTAAATGGAGAATGCGAAATGGCATTAATATACTTGCAAAAAATTAACGTCAATATAAGAATTTATCAAACAGATATCTGTCAGATTTTAAAAGAAGGAAGAATTTCAGTCAAGGAACATGATAGCTACTTAATTATAAGGGGCTTCAAAAAAATTTTAAAATTTTAATTTAATTCAAGAGATAAAAGTCAAAAAAATTTTATCAGTGAAAAAAATTAAAATATCCTTCACTTGTTATGTAAAATCACTCATCATTAATTTTTACTTCATTTGTTGATTTATTAATATGGGTTGACGTGTCGAATATTATATAAAATTTGACATTAATCGTTCAATCATAAGTAGCAATATCATTTATTAAATTGCCAACTTTCCTTGTTAATTTATTAACATTAATTGTGAATTACTAATAGGTTTTGTAATTTGTAAATTATTGACAGGTCATGTAATTTACAATTGATGTTAGTAAATTAACAAGTAAAATTAACAATTAACAACTAATATTACTTATATGAATATAATTTACAAGTAATATTGATAAATTAATAAGTGAAATAAGAAAATTAATGAGTAATTCTGCGTAACAAATGGTCTTTTCACTATCAAAATTGTTGACTTTTCTTCCCTGAATTAGACTAAAACTTCAAAATTTTTTTGAACCCACCTATAATTAAGTAGCTACTATAATCCTTAATTAAAATTCTCCCTTGAAAGAAATTAACTCAAATATAAAAATAAAATAATAAAGTGAAACTGACAAGGCAGGCCCATTATCAAATAAGAGAAAATTTTAAGTATACCCAATGCACCATATCATTCATAATTCATTCAATAAAATTACACTAATTCAATTAAATAAATATTATATATAATTATTTTTAATAATTTTATTTTTATAATATAATATCTACTTAATTTCTTATCTTTTGTTTCTATATTATATCAAAATCAACTTACGTCTAATGCTATTTGAATGTCCTCTTTTCATTGAATAAACCAAGAATGATATTGTCCACTGAATTTACCTAAAAATTTCTTCATAATTAAGTGATCAACTATGGAACTGACCAATTGAGAGCGGATCACTTCTCCTTTTTCTCCACGGAATTATCACGTGGGATCCGAGTCTTATTTATTAATACTTGTTTAGTAATAAAGCTCTCTGGGTTTGAGCTGGATCACAATCAAGTATGAGCAGGTCATAAAATGAAGGTCAAGCAAGCATCTACTTGTCGCTTGCACCTATACATCTTTTTCGCCTCAATAGCACATTATGCACTGCTGGTCTTGAACGACAAAACTATCAAATGTCAAGAAACCATGTACAACACTCCGCAAATGCAAGTGGCAATCCCTAAGACGACACGTAGATGCTCTTACAAAAGTTTTGTAAGCGGCACCGAATCCAACGTCAGTACTTTCCTAGCTTTGCATCCCCTCAAATGCCCATGCCACTTACCACTACCCAGGCCAAATCTTAATACAAAAACATGAAGTGCTATAAATAATAACTAGCTTTTTTTTTTTTTTTTTTTTGCATCATTTCAGCTTTTTCATATTTTCCGTCGGGGTCAAATCACCATAAATTTTGTTGGCTGGCTAGATGACCTCGAGTTATTAGTTGACTGCATCTATCATGCAATTATGCCCTTGCCATTGCCTGCGTATCCAGGGAAGCAGCAGGTTACATCTTGCTTCACATTGATTCTGGTTCAGGTGGTTGTTCAACTTCATTCGCAAGGGCATATACCGCTACTGTTCTAGAAGGTGCATACACTAGAAACGAACGAGGCCGGTCATCGTACCACCCTTCCTGCACAATCATCCAATAAATTTCAAAGACATGCCTTTTACTTTTATCCGCCACGGAATAGTCAATTGTAAAATCACATGCTTAAGAATGCAGCACACAGATGAGCAGTATGCAACACAACCAAACAAGACATAAAATCACCCATGCGAGTGCCCCCCCACACACAAGTTTAGAGGATGTTCCATACAGAAGAGAAGAACTCAGCAGAATGATCGAGCCTATTGAACCCTCCAAACAATGAATCGTCTGAATCCAAGACAATCTGGAAAAAGAAAAAGCATAATCCATTATAAAAAACTGATTATAACTTGGGCATTCAGATAAAGCAAAACCTACTGGGAACAGATGCCACCAATACCATGGCTGGGATTAACATACAGAGCAGATGTTTGCAGTACTGATGAATGATTTACATTTCAACAAACAAAAAATTCAAATCCAGTTCGTGTTCTCTGTTTCATTTGGTGCCTGATAATTTCAATTTCTCAGGATGTCTGGATACTATGAAGTTTTGAAATTTATTAGCACATGACCCAAATAACAAAATAATGTTAAATTTTCCTTTCTTTTTTTTTTTCACATTTAAAGCTAAATATACTTTGACATATAAGAAAAGATAAGATCAATAATTATCTATATTAAAAAAGGGTTAGCATTTAGCATGGCACTTGTTGAAAAGAAAATGGTAGTAAACTTGATGTAAACCAAGAAGAGGAGAGAGGGAAGAGAGATGAAGAGAAAGAAGGAGGAGAGAAAAAGAAGGATGGAGAAAGCCGAAACTTTTGAAAACTCTTATTCAATAATACTTAAAAGCTGAATACAAATGAAAAACCTAGTTCTATGTATACAGCTCTAAAAATAATAAAATAATGATAATTTAAATTCAAATCCCAAATGCAACAATAAAATAAACAATAAATCATGATTCTAATGAATAAATATCCTCAATTAAATATCCCTAATGGGTAATCCTAATATCTTAGATAAATCTTAAATTATCTTAATTAACTATCATCCCATATTCCATTAAAACCATTTAAGGTGATTTGGACAGAGTAAAGAAAGTGAGGAGAATTAAGCAAATGATCTTTAACCTTAGAAAAAGATGTAGAAGGTCAAGAACATTTAAGTTACATTATAGGAACTCATGATAACGCATTTGAGCAGTTAGAAAAGGCCCAATGATGTCATGTGATTAATGTAACTAACCTCGTTTAATAAAATAAGACCTGTTCTCAGCTAAAATAAAAGAATAAGACTTGTTACCTTTAATCTTATTTATAAATCACTCCCAACATATTTTACTGGAACTAAAAAAAAAAAAAGCTTAACCTTCATTAATTATGTCTTAATTTTATAAGTTTCCACCTCTATCCCCTAATAAAAACAAAAGGAATTGTTTTTAATAATTTTTTCTTTACATTTAATAAGGGTAGAAAGATAAAGATGAATATAAAAAATAGTAAAGTGCTTTATAAATAGGACCAAAATAAATCTTCTCTCTCTACCCTATAAATAGAACCAGAAGAGTATTACTTCAAGCTTAAATTACTAATCAGTCAATTATAATTATAATAATTAGAACACCCACGTACTAGGCAATTATATTTATTTTGGTATGTATTCATTTATTTGGCTTTTTAATACTTTTTTTAATTTTAACAAATTTCTCATTATTTTTTGTTTGGTTTAGGAAGGGAGGAGAGATAATAACCAATTTACTATTACACCCATGTATAATATTGTCTATACCCATGCATATTAGCAAGAAACTCTGGAAAAAATGAGTAACTATACAAAAAAAAGGAAAAAATATAATCTTTGATCCCTATAGTTTTATTGGGTTTTACTTTTAGTCCCTATAGTTTTTTCCCCAATGTTTTCAATCCTTGTAAGGACTAAAAACACGGAAAAATGAAAATTGTAAGGACTTGAAAAACAAAGGTTACCTCTTTCTAAAACTATAAGGACTGAAAACGATGGAAAAAAATCATAGGGAATAAAAACAAAACCCGATAAAATTAGAAGGATCAAAGATTGTGTTTTGCAAAAAAAAAAAAAAAAAGAAAAGAGAAAATTAGGAGTCAAAGATGGTTAAAATATTTTTTTTAAAAAGAAATATTTCTAGTATAATTAATCTTTATATTCATGCTTTCCTCTGAATATTTAAAAAAAAAAAAAATTCTCTTCCTCAACCCATTATCCCCAATGTCGCTCATCATGCTGTGTCTCACCTTGCACGTAGCACCCTCACTTTCCCTCTCTCAGCTCCTCGGTCTCTCTCCCTCACTCTTGCTCTCCCCTGCCCACCCTCATTCTCGCTCTCTCTCCCCTCCTCACCCTCAGTTCTCACCCTCTCCTCGCTAAGGTACTTTTGATCTCAAGTTTCTGCTTCAATTGATTGGTAAATGTAAATGGTTGCTGAGCTGTTATTTTTGCTGGCAAAGGTGTCCGCTAGGCAGCCACTCTCACAGTGGAGGAGCGCCAGTCAGAATAAGGGCAAAATCATCCAAAATTTTAGCTTCTCCCCAGAAAATCCCAAATTGGAGGGGGCAGGGGGAGGGGAGGGGAGGGGAAATTTTAGCTCCCCTCCCCTTCAAAACCCCCCAACCAGACACACCCTTAATCCAGATGATCCAGTTTCTAAGTTATTTTTTTCCATTTATTTTTATCCTGCGTTAATTTCTTTAATGAAAGAGAGCACTTAATGGAAGTTGTTGATTGAGATCTTTTAGTTACCAACATTTTAATTCATATAGCTGACCTCATTTAGTGGAATAAGGATTATTATTGTTGTTTATTTCTTCAAAAAAAAATAAGAAATAAAAGTTAACATTAAAAAAATAGAAAATATAAACCATCTAAATTGTTAAGATTAAATATAAACCATCTAAATCTGCATTAGGAGATTGCAACGGAACCAAGTCACATTTGATGATATTATTATAACCACTAATCTACCATGAGGATCGGAGCCCCTCATTTCATGTTGATAGTCTGTTTTAGAAGTTAGAACGACTGCTAGTGCCATTTGAGCCCAGCCAGGGTCATAATACACAGAGGCACAGAGCTCATAGGCATGATTTGGCATGGGTAATTATGAAAGTTCTCTATCCAAGAAAATTGTAATGAAAACAGAAAAAAGAAAAAAAAAATAAAAAAGTTTGTCATTATATAGATATCATACCTTGTATTTCCCCGGCTTTAAGCAGCCCACTCTATAATCTGAATAGCTGTTGGTCCAATGAAAATTGAAGACAAAAACGAGGTCTCCCCTTTCAAAGACTATCACCCTATCTCCCTCATTCTGACGTGATATATATTGGTGCTCAGAAACCATGAACTGCAACGAGAGTCAAGCACTATTATTATTTCCTTATGGCAACCATGGGAAATAAAAGCAAGCCTACAATAAAATGTATCACAGAGGATTCTACCCAAAAAAAAAAAAAAACAAATGTATCACAGAGGAGAAACAATATTATCCAAGCATGTAAAGCCTGTCCCATGAAATAGAAAATATAATCTGATTTCACAAGGTATACAGTCTCCAGTCATGAGCAATAACAATCAAATTCAACACCAAAGGACTTGACAAAGGAAATTCAAATTTAGGAGAGCCGTTGAAAGGGACTTACATTATATCTTTCTTCTAGATGCTGCATGGCCTGATCAAATTCTTGCATCCCACGATATCGTAGATAGTCTGCATCCCCCTGGATAACAAACCAATTGATAGGTTTTTTACCCTCTCAGAAATACCCAAGTAATATTTGCTTCTTTGAAAAAGTAAGAATATAAAACAAGTGTAGGTGCTTTGATATAAAATGCCAAAGTGAATATAGAGAGTAATTAAAGCATAGTTTTACCCAAGAAAATTATTCACCCTATCAGGCGTCAACGCATCAAAATGAATTGTTTTTCTTTTTCTTTTCAATTCTATAAAGAAACATCTCTTTTTCGTTTTTCATTTCACGTGTATATTTCTTGATTTTCTTCAACAGCTATAGTTAAATGACATGGAATGTTCAATACACACTCACCCACATAAAAGTATAATACATGTATTCATATACACAAATTGCTTCTTCAATGGCTGGTCCAAGAATCAACTATTTTCTTTTCTCTCTTTTTCACCGGAGGTGGGGGCTGTAAATGGATTTCAAAACTTCTTAAAAGCAAAATTTTAGATATTTGCAAGAGAAAGAAGATTGATTTTGGGTAAAGGTCCATTTTTGCCTTTAAGCTACTCTCCTAAAAGCACTCAATATCCTAAACTCTTTATTGTAGCAATTTAGCCCCTAATGTTAAATACCCAAATGTTGATTGTTAACTCAGACCAAAAATGCCACCAGTCATGCCATGTAGATCATAGTTGACTAGTTCACTAGAAGAAGGGTGAAAAGGAAAATTGACTGATCCTATATCGTAACATCCTGACAATTAACCTCTTGTTAATCAAACTAATCAAGGATAATTAAATAAGATTAGTGTGGCATGCAATTAGAAAGGACCGATGAATGTTTTGGATTGTGTTTTTAGCCTTAGGCTCAAATCTGAAGCGAAATCGGGTCACCTAGACCTCAAAAAGAGAGAGAAACAAAGGAGAAAGCCTTTGCACCAAATGCTGTAGTGCATTTGGCTAGAAAACATGAAGGACTATCTCTATAACACATACCACGACACCTATGGCATGAGCCATGACACATGGCTCATTTATGCAAAATAAGATGCAATCACACTCGAAAAGCATAAGAGAAGTGAGAGGAAAAAACGAGAGAACTCTAAAGCTATGTTAGGGCTTGAAGTCTTGAAGCATTTGGAGCAATTTAGAACTAGAAAACATCAAAAGTAAGCTCCTTAAGCTCCTATCTTCCTTTCCCTTCCTTATTTAAGAATTTTTGAGTTAAGGTTTCTATTGGGAAAGTGATTTTAGATCTATAGAAGCTTTGAGTCCAAACCCATTAATTTAAATTGAATTAATGAGAGTTGTTTAACTTATTCAAAGCAAATATTAATGGTTTTATGCATTCTTGAGCACGGGCTCATTAGAGAGCCATGGATATGGTTGTTGGGTAATAATAACAACCATTAAAGGTCCTACTTGAGTTAAATGAGATTGGTGGGAGTTTGTTAGAAGTTAATAGGCCTAATGGGTGTGAGTATTTATGAATGAAAGTGAAGTTAGGATTATTAAAGTGTTGAAATAGAAAGTTTAAATTGTGTAAATGATAGTGTTAGTGGTTTTGGACATGGTCAATCGTAGATTCATCGTCCGTGCAACTATTTAACTTGAGAGCAAGCTTTGGAAGGATTGATTTAAGGAATAAACTTTTGACCATTCAAAGATTTGAGGTAATTAGAAGAAACCTATCCTTTTATAATTGTAGGTTAATTGATAGTTTATGAAATGTAGATCAAGAAAGCAGTAATGGATTGGGGCAACGGCATTGCACTATCTGATTCTGATTAACGCAATTTAGTTAATGGCAATTGGGGGTGCGTGTATATATAGTAGACAGTCAAGAAGTAAGCTAAGTTTCTTCTTTAAGTGTGCTTCAAGTTTAATTTGGTGAGGATATTCTTTGGAGAAAAGGAAGAAGAACGAATTGATTATGGTTATGTTAGCCTTCAAGCATTGTCATTGCTTGAGTTTATAGCTATCAGACCCAAGATAAGGGAAGGGGCAGCACTTAAGTTGACGCGGGCACACTAGAATAAGGCAGTGCGAGGCTTTTGCTTTATTATGAGGTGAACAATCGATCGACTGACTCCACGATGAGGTCAAAAGTGAATCATTTGATCGATGACATCAATCCGTGAAATGAAATCAGGAGAAACCTAAACTTTTATAACTGAGGTGGTGATAGTGATGTAGTATATGTATGTTGTAATAAAATGTGTCTATGCATTGTCATATTTTGTGAAACTTATGAATGTGACTGGGTATAGATGAGGTTATGTGCATGTGATTGTGGTCTAAAAGTAAATGTTCTAAGTGCGGAGGTGTAATGGTGTGATGTGAATAACAACAGTGAATAATTGACATATATATGTGATGTGATGAGATGTAGGGTCATATGTAATGCCCGCATGACATAGGTCTTGTATGAATGAAACAATGATCTTGCTATTGTGATTTATAAGCATGAGAACATGTGAGCATGAACCATTGTATGATCGTAATGGTAGGAGTTTGCTTAGGGAGAAGCGTAATGGTGGGAGTTTGCTTAGGGAGAAGAGTAGATAAACCAATGTGGTATAGCAGCAAATCGTTAAAATCAAGGGGTAAGTCTTATCCTATTGTTTGTTAAGGGATTGTTCCATTGTTTGTCGAGAGATTAAAACTTTGCCATTTTCACTTATTTATTAAGGAGACTAGCTTAGGGTTTATGAAATCTCAGGGAATCGAGAATGGGGAAAGCCATGGTCTCAGAGTGAGAGTAGTGATTTTTAGTGGGGTCACTCTTCACAATTGGTGAGTATAGATAGTCCATTAACACGGATGAAACCTTATTTGATTACAGTTTCAATTGGAGGAAATAAAGAGGATATAAAAATAAATCAATCATGCATAATATCCAACATGGCACATGGTTGTTAAATTTATAACAAGTCATAATTATTGAATTGCCATTGCCACATGATTGTTAGTATTGTGGTAATGAGCATTGTAATGTGACTGCAGAATATATGATGTTTGTACACGTGTGATATAAGTGTGTTTGTGTGGTTATGTACATGTATTCCTTATATAAATATGTTTAAAAGTCAATTGATATGCAATTGCATAAGATAAATGTACTTTGATTATTGAATGGTTGTACTCACTCCTCTCTTTCAATATTTCATAGGCTTTAGCTTAGGTATGGTTAAGGGAAAGGCTCCTGAGGTTTAGGAATTTGATGCTCCTACTGTGAAGCCTCTCATCTTAATTTATTTTGTGTAATTACAAAGATAATGCTAGCTAATGATTGCACTCTTTTGTTATACTTGTACTACAGGGATTTTTCATGGTTTGATTGTTGTATTTTAGGCTTAGAATGCTTGTATGTAAATTTAATTATTCTAATAGAGCCAAAACGATAGTATCAATGTAGAAATGTTACAACTGTGGGATTATTTGATTAAACGCAATGCTAGATCTCCCCTTTTTACTTGTTATATTAAGGAGTTGAGGGTTAAAAATTAGATATTATTATTATTATTATTATTATGTGCATATAGTATGTTACACAAGTTGTCCTAAATCCAAAGAATATGGTGTTACTTGTAATTTTTGGGCACAAGCATTGGGTTTTTAACACTCTCAAGTTGTGAAAAATGTGAAAAGTTGATAAAATGTGTCTTGGTGTCCAACTTCCTTGTGTGAAATTATTTGGAAATAAAACTCGTGCTATTAGCTAGGCTATGAAAAAAGCTTTCTATAGACAGTTAAATTACTTCAATTAGATGTTGGACGAAAAAATAAGGCACGGTGATTGTTGCCCCTGCGTGCTGTCAAATGATAGCTCTTTACTTCCACATTCTATGCAACGCAACACAATGCCGCAGTGCATTCCTCTGTTTTCACTTCCACTTGATGTTTTTCAACTAGTTTTGAGTACTTTTTACTACTAAATGGCATTCCATGCTTCTATACTTATTTATACTTCATTTTTTTGGACTTAATAAAGTTATATTTGACCTATTTTGTAAAGTTAAACTTGGGATTCCAATTGTTAAAAGAAATACTTTTATATTTCGAAATGCTTTTAATGGTTAAGCATGGTTAGGTAATCTTAGGTTAATTCCAATCATTACAAGTGATAAGTTTGATTGAGAATGGGAACAATAAGGGGACCTTACACATATGCCTCTGCGAACACCTCAATCCCAACTCCTCTGCTTCTTCTTCGTCCTCTACTTACAAGCCTCCCATCTCCTCTACCACTGCCTCCTCACTGTCGATAAAGACCTAATCGCCCATCTTCTCCATGAATGTTGTTGCACCCAATACTACCACCGTCCTTGTCACCCATCTTCTCCTTCATCTCTATTAAACCCAAATCTCACCTTCGACATCCTCCTCCTCCTCCACCTGTCCTAGTTGTTGACAAACGATAGTCTCTGTTCCGAACTTCTTTGTTGATCTACTTTGGCATTCAAGGTGTGGGGTTTTGTTCCTCCTGATTATGGGTTCTTTTCTGATTTTTGGATATGTCCTACACCAATTCATCATCTTTTGTGACTTCGTCGAACAAATCTAGTGGTCCCTTCTCTACTTTGTTTCAATTAGTGCTTAGTGGAATAGTCAAGCCCCTTCAAGCTCTAGGTCAATCGTTAGGTTCCAGAAATTCTTGCTGATTTGCTTATGTTTGATTAGAAATTTGATTAGGAGATCAGAAATTTACTGAGTAGAGATTATTCATTTGCTTATAATAGACTTTGTTGATTGAATTTATGAATAATCTGTTCCCTTTTGTTGAATAGAGATTGTTCAATTTTTTTGCTCATGTTTGATTTTGTTGATTCGCTTATGTTCAATTTTGCACGTTGAATAATCTGTTCATGTATATCTATGAATCTGTTGCAATGGTTCTATGGAGGAGATGGAGTGTTGGGCAGAGGGAGAGAGGGAGGGAAAAACACATCATCAAGGGTAAAAAGACACATATGCAAGCATGTGGGCAACACTATACTCGTTTAACAGAAGCTAGAACTTAGAAACCTTCTAACGGTAAGGGCAACTTTGCTACATTTTGACAAGTTTAAGGGCAACACTGCTCGACTTAGTAGTTGAGGGTACTCAGTGTCCAGAGCAAATAGTTTAAGGACAAAAATACCCTTGAACCTATTGATTTCTTTTTTGCGAGGAGCACTGTCACCCCTTTTGGATGTACCACCGTTCTCCCCCCCCCCTGCCAGAACTGTTATTTCTTATTCCATATCTTTGGACATTTCAAATATATAATTTCACACAGCAACTTCATCAATGACATGCGAGATTTACAAGATATAAGCTTACATCATGTGTTTGCGAAAGGGCAGAATTTTAGTCCTCTCATTTAGATATGTAAATGAAACTAGAACAGTTAACACTATCAAAGAAGCTCGACAAGATCAGCGTTTTGCTATTTTCACTGTTCCCACCAGCACTGAATAAAATAGTTCAGTTGACTAAAGATACCTTTAACCTCTTCACCCAAAAAAACAAAGAATGAGAAAAGATACCTTTAACTTCCCAAGAAATGCTATATTAACTGACAATCATAAAAAAAAAATGATGGGATATAAACAACAATTGTAAATTGCCGTACAAATAAGCCAAAACTTACCAGGTTAAAAAGACGCCTGCATTTATCATAACTGTAATTGTTCCCATCCCTTGGAAAATCAATCCACTCTGAACAGAAGAACGGTTAATGGAACAATTGAATATTTTCTTCATAATCACCAAATCCTATAACTGCCTAAGCAATTCATAATCGGTCCTAGTTAATCCTCTTCAGAAAGAATCACAAAATGAAAATCATCTGCACTAACCTGGATGGCCAAATTCATTTCCCATAAAATTTAAATATCCTTCACCACCAAGGCCCATGGTAATAAGCCTAATCATCTTGTGTAATGCTATTCCACGATCTATGAGAGGAGTAGAAGGTCTGTCTAATGCCATGAAGTCATACATATCCTGAAGCAGCCAAGTAAAAAATAATAATAATAAGCATCCAATGACATGCTGTAGCACAAATGCAAATCCCTCAATTATACTTTGAAGGAAATGATTGGCTGGATCTTTCAAAATCCCTGCAGATTGTTACAAATCAAGAGACAATAACAATTTTAACATTCAGTTCACAAATGTTTGAAAACAATGCGTCAAGCAGAGCTTAAGCTCCAGCTGATCTGACCAGAAGAAAAATAAGAAGCAAACAAAAGCATCAAAGAAACAGCCAGGCAAACGGCAAAGGTCACATTAGGATCTGATGAAAAACCAAAAAAAAAAAATATCAGAAGAGCTGGCTGTTAAATGAACACAAAAAGGTAGTTTCCAAGACTTATTAACAGTCAAGCACTTCTAGTTATGTATTTGCTGCAAATGGTAAGGACTTCAATGCAGCAGGAAACTTCACATAGATTACTACAATATCCCATGAATAAATACAACTACATAGCTATATTCCAGAAAAAGCTAAAGACCTTGTCCATCAACCAAAATGCAATTGTCTTGTCACCGACCAAGGCTTGGTCATGACTTTCAGCATATGCCACACATTTTTCCAGCCACCTTCTGTTGGTGAGTGTGTGAACTATATCACCCATTTTCCAGTATTCGTCTGGCTTCCTACATAGAGAAGGGCATGGCTGAATCAAACATGATTGTGAAGTGATACTACTAATGATTAATGAACAGGTAAGAACGAGTAACAATAGCCTGTCTGTGGATTCAGTATAAGTTAATGATAAGCAAGTCAACTTCATGCTAATGATTCATAAATTATTGTTTAAGTATAAAATTCACAAGTAGGGCTACTTGAAAAAATGCTGTGACTTAGACTCAAGAAAAATGATGGCACAATTACTTGAGCATCGCAATCCACTTGTCTGCAATGGCCATGTGCAGGCGATAATCAAAGCCAACTCCACCATCTTGTGTAGGAAGGCAGAATGTGGGCATTCCACTGACCTGTAAACAGAAGGAAATTGTAAAGTCAGCTGTCAGTTTTCATCAAGTCATATAGAACTCAATGCAATATTATCTTTCACTTGCTTTTAAATAGTGCAGATAACTAAAAGCAAAACCTAAAAATTAAATGAACAAATTGAAAAGTGATTAAGATAATAGGCTAAAATTTATTGGCTTGTCTATACACATGACCACAATGATTGATAAGGCCAAGAGATAACAATCAGTCAAATCTTGTCACAGTTCTCGAGTCATGGATAAATGGTCATGAAATATCTGGACTAAGACAACCAAATACCAAAGCAACCTAATCCAAAGCCCCCTGAGCTATTAGCATCTAACATTTTGAACATATAATGGTAGAACATTGAGCAATAGCATGTTGAATCCCATGAGTAATCCATATCTTCACATCAATGAGGGAGTATCGTCTTCTTGTTCTTAGCATAATTTCTTGCAATAAATTTGACCACAATATCTTCTGAAAAGATAGCATACATCTTCACCAATTGTAACAGCCTCTGGGTAGAGACCATGAATGACATCATTAGCCAGCATCAGGTAAACCACTGCATCCACATCAGTTGCATATCCAAAATATTCATTGTAATTCCCAGTAAATCCTACCTGCAAGAAACATAAATCAATTTCATTACAAAATAAAAGGAGAAAATAAATGCAAGAGCCAAACTGACAAAGAAGTTTTGCATTTAAAACAGGACACCCTTTTCCTCCGGCAGAGTATCTTTTATCAATTTCCTAGCATGGTTTTCTTCCTTAACCTCTCTTGTTATTCAAAGTTTACCCTATCAAATCACATGTCTGGATCAAATGCTCCACAATTTGCCAAAGAGGCTGATATCCACAAAACAATACATTTGTAAAGAATCAGAAAAAAGCTATTATTCAACATCAATTTACATAAAACACAAGCTTGTTTTAAACATCATATTTTGAACACTGTTGCAGAAGCAACAAAAGAATGAAATAGTAATCCAAGAAGATATACACCCGGTTTGGTTTAACCAATAAAGACTACAAGGTAAATCTAGCAGCATCGACGATAGGCGTAGGGGACACCAGGATCCCTTTGTTTTTTTTATATCACCCCCCCCCCCAAAAAAAAGAGGGTGGCCTCACAGGGGTCCTTTCTTTGTTTTTTCGCTCACTTGGTGATCTGATAAGCCCTGATGACTAACTACTAATGCATGGAAGTTGTAATGAAATAACAGGCATCATAAAGAGAGATAACAAACCCCCAAACCATGATGAGTGTACATCATTGATGTGACACCATCAAATCGAAACCCATCAAACTTGTACTCTTCCAGCCACCATCTTGCATTTGAGAGCAGATACCTCAGTACCTAAATAATAAGAAACAGTTGCTAGCAATTAGAGGAGCTGGAAGAGAAAAAGTAGCAAATATTGTCATACTTATGTCACTGAGTCTGTAAAGAAGATGCTTACTTCCCAGCTTCCATAGTTAAAAAGGCGAGAATCCCACATCCAGTGATGACCCCGGGATCCAGGATGGAAGTAATGACCGTCAGTCCCATCAAACATGTTCAGCCCATCCAATGTATTATTTGATGCATGGCTGCATTCACCAGGTTAGGGAAAAAATCAGGTCTAAGCAGGAGTTTAAATAAGTTGTATCATTAGACCTTGCAGTTAATAGCCTTCATGTAATGATCGTTTCAAGGCAAAGGAATGAATTAAAACAATGAGAAGACAATAACAGTTCCCAGATAAATTGCCAAACAAAATAAAAATAAAAATAATGAACAATGATTACCTATGTACAATATCCATCAGAACAAGAATATCTAGTTCATGGGCCCTATCTACAAGAGACTTAAGTTCTTCTGGAGTTCCAAATCGGCTGCTAGGTGCAAAAAAGTTTGTAACATGGTACCTACATGGTGCAGAATAATATTTATTAACACTTGGCCAAAATGTATAACTGGAAGCAGTGGTAATTAAAAAAAAAAAATCCACAGAAGACATCAACATAGAATTCAGAAAGAGTTACCCAAAGCTAGCATAATAAGAATGCTCCTGGATGGCCATAATTTGGACAGCATTATAGCCAAGCCTTTTAATACGAGGCAAAACATCATCTCTAAAACTGACATATGTGTTAATTTTTGGCTCCTGCATCAACGTTCATGACAAAGTAAAATAAGATATAAAACTATAAATATACACTTTAGCCAAATTTTAGAGGTTTGTTCATCAACCATATGTAAATTGTCTGCCGTTAAATAAGCTTGACTTTCATAATGATTAAATGGGAAAAAATGGATCAAGTTTCCCCAAGAAGGGGAAAGTCTAATCAACCTATATTGTGGTATCTGCTTTGTACATAGTAACTGAACAAAGATAGCTTCCCTTTAGGATTATGAGAAAGAATCATTAAATAGTGGAGAATAATGACCTAAATTCCATCATAGCAACTGAAATATGTTACAATTAAAACATTTTCCCTTCACATTCTGGCATTCATGTTAGCAACTACACTTCAGCATGTATTACATCACTGACTTTCATCTAAAGATGCCAGGGCTGGGAAAGGAACCATCAAATTAAGCACTTATCACAGTTGAGAAAAGTTAAAGATGCCCACCGGACTACTCATTCCCACATGTGACTCATATATTCTGAGTGACTTTGGTCTTTTTGGCTGTGGATGTTTAAAAACATATTTTTCCTGCAAAGAAGAGAAGAAGAAAACCATTTTAACAGTGAAAAATGAACATGATGAGAACAACACACCTTTGATTTAGATTATCATTTGCAGCAATAAGTAATTGTAAGCATCACCTCCTATATTTAATTTTAACAGAGATTCAGACCCAAGGAAAAAATGGGTAGGACACTTGAAAGCTAGACCCACTAAAGAAAAGAGGAACCAGAGATAAATCATAAAGCAAATGATAATTGGATCTAGAAAAAAGGGTGAGCCAAATCCATTTATATTTGAGGGGAGAGCTGGAGATAAGCCTTGATAGAAGAGCCAAATCTAAAAGTGACAACAAGAATGAAGGGTATACATGTTTGTGGCAGTCTTAACTAAGTAGCTCAAGCTACTAGGCTGAAATGAACAAATCGAAGTATCAGCCCAAGCACAAGCATATACAGAAAATTAACATATACTACTCAGTAGTGTGCTGCCAAGCTTTATTAAATGTTGCAATGTTGTCTTACTGAATTCATTATACTTGCCACTTCCCATTTTCTAAATATAATCACCATGGAATAGAGAATCCTACCTCTTCTGGTGGATCATAGTATATGCCATTATATGGAATTTCACCCGGAGCCTGTATCGAGAACTTGATCCAAGCAGGAATAGAGTCCTTGATGCCAGAGGGAGTATCCATGCGAATCTACATATTTATTGACAGAATGCCAGAATTTTAGTTCTAGGGCCTCACCTGAAAACAAACAATAACACTGAAAGGCACAAAACATAACTCAAAAGAAAACTGACCTTCACTCGAGAACCATGAGGAATTGGTGGTGAACCGTCCACATTGTTTGGCAGAAATATCTCCCAGACACCAAATTCATTCTGTTTAGACAAACAGATAGGAGAAGTGAAGGATGAAGTCAAAAACACCAAATAATTAAGAAAGAAAAAGATAGCATTTCTTCTACAAGAAGCATCCACAATGTCTTGAGTACTTAAGGTCAATCAAAGATAACATACCTGAGTCATTACATCTGCATTTGGATTCCAATTGTTGAAGTCTCCAATTAATGCCGCTGACTGAAAGAGCGACCAATAACAGCCATGATAGTTCACAAGAAGAATTAAAACCCCATTGACAAAGTAAAGAGATTGATACAGTATGTCTTGTGGCTTGCAGAATCATGCATTCAACACCAAAACTCAATTTCTCTGGTCTATGTTCTATACATGAAGTAATGACAGAAAGGAAGAGGGGAAGGATAGGGAGGAAAGAAACAAGAGACCACCGCTTTAAAATCTATATGTATACTAAAGATAGATCATGAATCCCAGTGAACAAATTTTCTACCTTGAGTTATTTTAGAGCATGAACAAGCAAACATTATCTGCCATTAGGCATTAGTACAATAAACTCTGTCACTTCTACTAGTAAATAGTCTAAATCAAATTCTAGACTTTGAAATCATTACAATAGACACTTACAGCATGCCTGAAAACCTTCAATGGCGTTCTAAGTAAATACTCCCTCTGTTTTTTACGTTTAGAGAAACTATCACTTTTGCCTTGTATTTTTTTTATAAGCAAAATCACCTATTCCAATAAGTATTAATTATACATTTCTTAAATCACCCCTTATAATTTACATTAACGAGAAACAATTAATGCATAGTTATGTTGATTAACACAGGACATTTTAGTCCACTTTATTTATTATTAAAAATAATTATTATAGTTAACCGATTCTCTTAAACTGTGATAAAAAATTTTTTCTTATATATAGAAATGGAGGGAGTAGATAAAAATCTAATAGAGCAGAATTTTCACACAAATGACTATGCACTCCTGCCAAAAAAATTTGTAAAAGAATAAAACTTGCAGGCAAATTGAAATTTTAAGAAAAAAATATAATCAATGTCAATATCAAGAACTAAGATAAAGTATACCTTAGCTCCAGGTGCCCACTCTCTATAAGTAATGCCTGTGGCCCTGCAAGAAGAGTTTAGAGTTATTGGAAGCATAGAAAGATTCGAACCTCAGACATTTTGATTAACAATATATTTTTTTTCTATGTTTAGAGTTATTAGAAACACAGAGTTATTGTTTGCTTTGTAATCTTGTGCGGCCTCACTTTAATTGCAACTTAGTATATCGTTAACCAAAATGTCCTGTTTTAAGGACGGCAAACATCATTTTTTTTTCCATCAACTTACATCACATTCTACACCCTTATAACAAAATTAATAAACCAATAGAAAAGAGAATATTGCCAGTTCCATTAATTAGACACCTACAGATATCAGGGGTCTTCTTACATGGAATGTTCATCAAATTCCAGAAAGTTGGGCTAGCAGTAAAATTCATATGAGCTAAAATATAGCATTTAAAATAAAAATAAAAGTTTCTCCTTTGAATTAATTGATTATATTAATTATGGGCTAGGAATGTTGACGTGATACAGATAACAAACTTAATCATATTAAGGACGTCATATTTGGTAACTTTTGTGCAGACAAGATAGATATCTACATCATGAGCATCAATATGTAAAAGTAGGGGTAAAATAAAACCTCCGTGTGAAACCAAATTTTTCATAGCCACGAGAAAAAGCTTCCAAACCACCTTCATGCTTGTCAATTTCCGCACGCAATCTTTTATACTGCCCAAAACTATAACAAGGAAAAAATGTAAACAAAATCAGGTTATGTCTCACAGTTTAGAAAGCATCAAAAGCCCAGAAGCATAATGGATAAGAATCTGAGAAGCCAAACAAATAAAATATGAGCATTATATTAACCAACTAAAGATTGCATAAACAGAGCACTGTAAGTTTTTGTTTTATAAAAGAATTTCAAGGTTTTCCGCATGTCTGAGTTATTGTTTAAAAGAAATTAATCAAGACATATATGCCACCAGAAAGAAAAAGGAATTCCTCTATACAGGAAATGTTGCCATTATTTTTTTCTCTCTAGTTACATCAAAACAATTTAAACCCTAGTCACTATTCTTGCTTTTATGTGTTCATATCAAGGTTCCTGCAATCAATTGGTTCTGGACCCAATTCTAATTCTAATAATATTCTGGCACAAGTGGCCCATTAAAAGGATGAAGCACACACAACTTAGAAGCTTGATGACTTGATCTCAGTGTAAAATCAATAACAGGAAGGAATTTAGAGAATTTAATAAAAATATGAAGCATGCATAAATTGAATACAAAAGTAAGATATCCACAATTTTATTCAAAAAGATGAAAGCCAACATAATTTGAAGCATTGCTAATGCGTCCCAGCTACCAGGCACCAGCAGTACATATGAGCAAAAGGTTGTCAAGTGCTATTTTCATACAGATGGAATAACACAGCATTTCTAACCCCACTACAAGAACTTTTAGCAGTTATTTGAGCTTCCCAAGTTCTCCAAGACTAAGTCTATTCTGCAAGACATGAATTATTTCACTCATTTATACTATAAAATGCTTAAGGTAAGAAGTCAACTCACCGGAAGTCAAGATGCTTACGATAACCTAGCAAAGATGGATCAATTTCATATATCTTCTGTCCAGTGCCTGGTGGGGGAATGATCTTACGTTTAATTTTATCTCCTATTTTAACTTCCTCCTTTGTAGAATTTGATGTCTTTGCTGGAGCATTGGCATCAACATCTTCGAGTGATGAAGGAACAGAACCTAGTCCATCCTTAACCTCTATGAAACCACTAGCTGCTTCATCATCCTTAACCTCGTTATCATCTTTCATGGTTAGATCCTCTATGCTATTAGGAGCCTAAAATATACAAGTCAATGCACTCTAAGATTACTAAGAATGAATCAACAAAGAGCAAATATGAAAATACTACTACATTCACTATTGCAAGGTCATAGAAAAACAGTAATGCTTATACTCAGCAGCTAAGAATTTGTTGATGGCCACTACTTATGGTCCACAAGAAAATATGTAGTCTCAAGCATCCTAAGGCAATTGGTCCCATTCATTCACCAGATACTTTATATTACTATTATGCTCTATATGTCGATTGTCTCATTCTCATTTTAATGCATATAACTCAACTAACAGAGTTTGTAATGCAAATGAAAATGTAATAGCATCTCTAACATTTCAAAATAATTGCCATCCTTAGAAGACATAGCATGGAAAGCTTTCCTTTTATATCCAGATATTTTCAAAGGCCTTTTTAAACTAATAGATTACCTTCAAGCAAATCCTCCCTGCCTGGAAATCATGAGATGGGAGTCAATGACCTTATAGTTCAAGCAGCAGTCTACTTTTGACATTTCTAGATTTGACATGTAAGATGTAATTTCTTTTTAATCTCCTTTTCCCTCTTTCTCCAAGTCTTTTTCCTTAAAGTTACAATCAACTTACAACTAACTATGCCATTATTCAACTAAAAGGTGTCAGTTTCTTACAGTTGCAGCAACATGTTACTTGTAACATTTTTTACAACAAAACCATAATCTCCGTGAGAAAAAGGAGTGCAATCCACATAAGAAGCATTAAACTATTTATTAAAAAAAGTAAATTATAAAAAAGTTCCAAACGGAAATGGACAAAAATACCTGTGGATCCTGTGAAGTTATTTCAGGAGTTTCAAGTTGATCTGTCAGAGTTGAAGCATCATCTTGATCTCCAGGTACAAGAATTTTATCAGATGCAGCCACAGCAGAAGATGAGGAGTCAGAATCATGGGAAAATTTTCCAACCAGGGTCTTCCCTACAAGAAACCATCAATGCATTAGTGAGGCTCTTTTTTTCCTTTTCCTTTTCTATTCTTTTCTTTTTCTTTTTCTTTTTTTTTCTTTAGAGGGGCAAACGCAAATAGCTTGAAGTTATAAGCAAGATCAGACCTGTGACCTTCCACTTACAAGGCCACAAAGCCAATGGCATCAGTGTGGTGTTTTCATCATATTGAGGAATTAGTTTTGCATGTAAACAAAATTTCTTTTATGTTCATTCTAAGGAGAAAGATATATCACTCTCCATGTTTTCTATTTCCAGAAAGTTATCATGCTCATGTATTTGCAAGTCAAAAAGATCAAATTAAAGATTCACAGCAAGTTCATAGAACAACAAATGAAATAATTAAAGACTTTGTCCAACCAAGTAAAGAAAGAAAATAGGCTTGAAAACAATCCTGTAGTTTAGATTCACTTTTATATTCTACACAAACAATGGATAGTAAAGAAAAATAATTAGAAAAATATATAGAACAAAATTTTGAGAACTATATCATCAAAAGAATGTCAATACAATTATTGTTCATAGTTTTGAAGAAGCTATGAAGCAACGGTCAAATGAACTTTCTCTAGCTGGTTTTCCATTACCAAACATTCTGACTTGGTGAAGAACTGACACCGTCCTTACCAAAATCTGCTTCAACTAATGATCATCTGCATGATGCAGGGCAATAAAATAATAATAATAATAATAATAATAATAATAATAATAATAATAATATGAGGTAACTGCACGTAACCGCTCTAAACTGCAACTTTGATACATGAACATTAAAACTTTATTCCCCCTACACTATCAAAAAAATTGAAAACGTTAAATCTCAACTAAATCTAACATCTAAAAGTCACATAATTTTCACGAGATACTTTATGTAGGGAGAATTCTAAAATAAGATACAGACATAAAGTATCATGTGATGATCAAATGATTTCCAGACATTAGCTTTAATTGATATAGTAGGATTTTCATTTTTTTATGTATTTTACTAAGTGTTATATTTATAAGAATTAAGGCTTTGGACTGTAAAATTCGGGGGGTACTTGTCTCAGCTTTAAGTCGCAGCTAAAGAGAGCAGAGACAAGCCAAAATAAGCGATATCATCTTTCAGTATGTCACGTAGACGGCAAATCTAATCAATCCACTCAAGGTTGAAGTTTATAGAACCAAGCGTGATCTCAACCACCTTTAGTAATCACGAATCGGATGCTTGTTAGAATTATCAAGTTCCAAAGAGTATAGTCGCATTGTTTTCTGCTTTTAGGGGGGGGGGAACTCCTCAACAGACAAAGGATGCAGCAGACAGTTACAGCATCTATACAGATACAAAACTTCATAACTGAATGTTCCACAAAATAGTACCAGTGAGTTACAGTTAACATAGATGGCTTCGTCTCTTTGAAAAGGTTGCCTGAAGGAGTGGCTTTTAACTACAATGGGAGACATAAACTACAAAGAATATACAGAACGGACAAATATTGATTCGATTAATAGAGAGAAAAAAATCTGGAAACCTAGTTTTCCTAAGGACCCGAATCCAAAGCTCAAAGCAATTCCAAGGACCTAGATAAAAGCATATATGATGAACCAATGAAAAACTCGAAGAAATATATCTTGTCTCCACCGATCCTGAAAAGACTGTATTATGATTCATCCCTGTTGCTGACAAATTGCTACATTTCAAGTATTCAATGAACCAGCGTCGGTTTTTGGGACATTAACCGAGCCAATTTTAAAGCAAACACTGGCTACTTAACAGTGAATTGAAATAGCAGAAGTAATAGAGTGAAGATAAGATTGGCGTACTGCGAGAAATGGAGTCCATGTTCTGGAAGAAGGAGAGAGTAACAGTCCTACGATCACCATGGAAGCTCGACTGCGAGGACTTGTACACTGAAGGAACAACCGGAAATCTCAGTCCCGGTAAAGTATAAACCATTCTTGTGATTTTACACCAGTTGAGTTTTGAGAAGGGAGAGCACTGGAGGTGCGATACAGATCCCGGTTCGAACTACGACATGTATACAGCTGAGTTCAAGTGTTGTGGTAAGTCCCAAGTGTGTGTCTCGGGGAGAGCATTCCCAGATTTTAAACAAAAATCAGAGAGAGAGAGAGAGAGAGAGAGATGATTTGGAAGGCGGAAAAGGGGCGCTATCCGCCAACTTAACCGCAAACGAAGCACGTTACGTGTGATGAAGATTGAGCTTTTCGGGACCCACCACTCCACCTGTGGGCTCAAGGATATGATATAAACGGCTCTGGTCGTGCGCCTTCATTTCTCGGTGGTCGTTTGATTGTTTCTCCTTCTTCTTCTTCTTCTTCTTCTTTTTAATTATTTTTATTATTATTATTATTATTATTATTTGCCTGGGTCAGTGTTTTCAGGAGGTTTCTAACTTTTCTTGATTTGACGGTTTTAGCAGGAAAGAAAGCCTCCGGAAAGTTTTTTTTTTTTTTTTTCTTTGGTTGTTAGGTAAACTCCTTTATTCCGAAAGGTTCTTTACTTCCTTTTAAGATGCAGCCCATGAATATATACCTCCCTTGTAAACGTTTCCTTTTGTAAATCTGTTTTTGGACCACTTAAGATAAGCATTTGTTTATATTGGCCGGACAAAATACAGGAGCATTCATTTATACAAAATTCTTTCAATTTCCACGAACAAAATATCAAAATATTCTAGGCTGAGATTCGATTTCACAGCTTAAGTTGATGAAATATCACTTCGCTATTTATTGCAAATGCTGATCCGCTCGAATAATTTAGGCACGATAATTAAGATCAGTGCCGATTAGACCGAGGGTCAGTTTTTCTGTTTTTGACCATGATTCTTTTTTATCTCTGTTTTCTGTTACAGAAAAGATTTTGTTAATTTTTCATGCCGTAAACAGCACGGGAAATTTTGAAGAAATTGGGAAAGAGTTAAAATTTAAGATCAATAAGGATCATACATTTTAAATTATTATGTAAATAGTATCTTAAATTTTAAATTTTAAAATATATAAAAGCTTTCTTAAATTTTAAAATTTTGAGTGTCTTAAATTTCATCATTAAATTAAAAAAATAACTAATATTTTTAAGAGTTAAAATAAATGTTACATCAACATTGAGTATGCCTCTCAACTACAAAAATAACCCCCGTTTTATACAATTTAACGATAAAGTTTTAAACACTCAAAATTTAAAATTTAAATAATAACTTAAGATTTACAATGTTCACTGACTTTAAAATTTACTATTAGATATTAAAACTGTAATAATACCGTGATAGTACCGATAAAGCTGCATCTTATGTTTAATTTTTGCATTGTGCCGTGTCTTGATTAAAAATTGAGAGTGAACATATAAAAAATATACATCGAGAACATATCACTGAACACGCCTTCAAAAAAGTGTTAAGTCGGGAGATTTATTTTACAAATTTTAAAATAAAATCCAGGGATTATTTTAGTTATACAAAGCGGGTTTGGACTATAGTTATTATTCCATAGGGCCCTCTGCCATATTCATATCACTTGAATTATCAAGATGAATAAGAATTCGAGTTATCATTATCGATATAAGTAAAATGGTTAAGGACAACAAATGATATTGTAGTAAATGACGAATTTGTGTTAGGATAGCAATGTTATAAGTTAATCAATATTTTACTTTAATTTTGGAGGTAAGATCTCCAGTAACTTAAATAAGTTGTTGGAGTTTTAATTTCCAACTCTTATATATTTGAAGCAAATATAATAAGAAGATGTCAAATTTTTTTACCCCGATCCCAAAGCAATTAGGTCACATTTGATTATTAAAAATGAATATAAAGAATTAAAAAATAAATATAAAATTAAGATGATCAAAGAGAACTAATAAGCACATTCATAAGAGAAAGAGATAATTTAGTTCATAAAGTTGGAAATCATGCTTCATGATTTTTTTAAAAGATATGATAATCCCTTCATTTATAGTATATGTTAATGAGTTTTATCATATTTATTTTAAAAAAAATGGTGATTTATTTTATTTTTATTTTTATTTTTTAATTAACTTCATTCCATTCTATTTTGTTAATCAAATGAGATCTTGGTCTCTCCTGATGCATAGGAAGAAGATGCTTATGCACAATCTTAAAATAAAAATAGAACTTCCTTATTTCAAACGATGGAAAGAGTACTTGTAGGCGTGGCAGTTAATTTACTCATTTCTGTCCCAATTTAAAAAAAAATTTTTGAGTAAAGTTTGTATTCTAAAATATAAAATATTTTGATAAAAATAATTTTTTATTAATGATACTTTTTAAATTTTATTCTCTCCATTATATTTTCTTTTTAATTAATATTATTTCATAAATAGAATATTAAATGAAGAGTATGTTTTAAAGTTAATATTTTATCTTAAAAAATAAAAATATAAAATAAATTCAATAAATTTATTGACATATGTATAATAAATGGTTTGAATTTGTCCCTTTTTTTTGGAAAAACACTATTTTTGTACTTTGTTTAAACTTTGACATAGGTCTCTGCACTTTTTTATTATTATTCTAAATTCATATACTTGTTTTTATTTGCAATAGCAATCCCTACATTTTCATAAAAATGTTGATATGACATAAATAGTGTTAACAATTTGGACATGTCAATTAATACTATTATTTTGTGCTTGTGCGTTAAATTGATGCAGAGATAAATTTTTTTAATAAGTAAAAATAAAAAAAAAACCAACATCAAATGAGATGAAGATGTTGATGTAGATTTTTTTTTAACAAGTAGTAATTTAAAGAGTCTAGGTTAGTCTTTTTATTTTATTTGATGTGAATTTTTTTTCTTTGCTCACTAAAAGATCATGTCAATATCAATTTGACACGTATGTATAAAATTAATTGTGTTAATTGATATGTTAGTATTATTAACATTATTTGTACCATATTAATATTTTTTAAAAAATGTAGAGACTAATATTTTAGGTGGAGAAAAGTGTAGGGACTTGAGAAAAAAAAAGCATGTGAATCAATATCAAAATCTAAGCGAAATGCTAGAATGAAAAATAATGTTTTTCTTTTGGAAAATGATGCAAAAATACCTATAAAGTAATCAACTAGAGGTATTCAATATCCTAAAGTGATAAAAAGGGTAAAAATATCCATAACGTTACATAAATGGGTGCAAAAGTAACCATGTCATTAATTTTGACCTAATGCTGTTTACTTTGATAGTTAAATGCTGACTGTGCATGCCGTATGTCAACTTTTGCTGATGTGGATTAATAAAAAGGCAAAAATATCTATGAAGTTAATAGACAAGAGCAAAAATACCCACAATATTATTAAAATTGATGCAGAAGTGATTAATTCATAAAATCCCTTAAATGTTAACAGTTTAGCTGATATCTAAGCAAAAGTTAATTATTTTTTCACTGATGCAAATAAAAAAAATTCCTAAATGAAATTTTCTAGAGGTTAATCGACCATTATATGAATATTATGTGAGAAAATATTATTTTAACTTAATATCAAATTAAATCACTTGTTTCTTTGCATTAGTGGCAAAAAATCATTTGAAATTTTTGAACCTATCATGAATGAAATTCCTCAAGGACAATATTCTCAAGATAGCACATGAGGTATGCTCACTCTCGATATTTGAATGTGTACAACTTATTTCACTATGTTGAATATTAGGTTTTGCAAACAAAAAAAGTGAGTGAAAAGGGAGGAAAGAAGGGGGCGAGATACGTGATGATAGAAAGAAATCATGTGATATGAATTTTGATGAATTGATCACTAATTATAGGTATTAATATAATGATCGATCAATATTTGTAAAAATTTATTTAGAAATATTTTTGGTTTACATCAGCGAAAAAACAGTCAATTTTTACTTAGATATTAATTAAACGATTAACATTTAAGTGATTTGATGGATTGATCACTTTTGCATCAACTCTGATAACATTATGAGTATTTTTGCTCGTGGTCAATGACTTCATAAATATTTTTACCTTTTTCTTAACCCACATCAGTAAAGGTTGACACATGACATGTACAATCAGTGTTTAACGATCAAAATTAATAATCTGATCACTTTTGCACCCTACTCATATAACGTTATGAATATTTTTATTACTTTTTTTATTTTAAAATATTAAATATCCTAACTAATCACTTTACAGATACACTTGTTTTTTTACCCCTTTTCTTTTTAACGGGGACCATATAACAGCGACTAGCATGCTGTGAATTCTGGTTTCTAAATCACCAATTGAACATTATTTCTGGCTATCTCTGTTTCCAAGAATGCATAATTGAAGCGGAAAAAAAATGAAAAGTCCTAGCCAATGCTCTAATATTTTCTTATCCTGACTTTTGAGAGTAGAGAATCCTCAGGCATCGTTGAATCTCCACAGGCATTTTTTTTTTTTTGGGCAAGTCACAGGCATTGTGGCTTCCCTTCATTTAGGCCTTTTTTTTTTTTCATTTTTCTTTTACTGTAGTACATCTTTTATGTAAGTTTTAACAGTTGAAATTTAACAAAAATTAATTATTTAATCTTTATAATTTAGATCGAGCTGTAACTCAATTCTTAAAATTTTAATTTAATTATAACTCAATCTTTAAATTTTGACTCTTACAACTCAATTTTTATATTTTTTATCATTTAAATAGTAGTCTTTATATTTTAAAATATAAAATTATTAAGATTAAAAGTTTGTTAAAATTTTTTACTGATATTTTAAATGACTAAATCATTTTAATATTAAAAGTTTAAAATATTTTTATATCTTTATAATTTTAATTTAGCTGTAACTTAATCTCTAAAAATTTAATTTAGTTATAACTCAATTTTTAAATTTTGATTCTTGCAACTTAATTTTTATATTTTTAATCATTCAAATAGTAGTCCCTACATTTTAAAATATAAAATTACAAAGATTAAAATTATGTTAATTTTTTTACTAATATTTTAAATTACTAAAATATTTTAATCTTTATAAATATTAAAAGTTTAAAATATTTTTAATTTTTTTAATTTTATTTTTTAAAAATATAAATATCAATATTTAAATGGTTAAATTTATAAGGATTGAATTACAAGATACAAAGTTTTGAACTTAACTTACAACCAAATTAAAATTATAAGAGT